TAATAATCATTTGATATTTGAAATGACACCAAGTGATTGGAGATCTTTTGGCTCAATGTACGTCAGTTATATTGGAAGAAAGGTAAGTTAAAGTAATTTTTTACAAAAAAAAAATTAAAAGTAATTTTTGTGATTATTATGGTTATTAATCTAATTTGGTCGAAGAGCCAAAGTGAAGGAGTTCAAGAGAAACTGCTTATTTATTATAATTTATTTAACTTTTATATTATTCTTTGTTCCTTCTTTTATTCTTAGATTGAGTATAGATCTCTTGGATTTCATGTTCATCCAATTATAAGTAGACAACAAACGGATATTTATAGTTGCTCTTATTTAAAAATTAATAATTACATGAAAATTTCAAAAATGAACTCATGTGGTAAGTTAGTATAAGCAAATTTTTCATAACAAAGTAAAGTGTTTCGTGTTTTGGTTTTAAAAGTACACTGCTTTTTTCGGTAAAAATTAAAATTTGTTTTGGGTAATATTTGATATATTCTCTGTTTTATATTATTTTATTTAAATTTTGATTATAATTTTCTGATATACGTTTGAATTTAATTTATTCCACAATTAGACCGAAAATTTTTAATTTATTCTGAACGGCAGTGCACTTTATTAAGTAACCTTAATATACTTGTTACAGCCCACAATGCTCTCCTAGTATAAACACTATATTTTGCATTTAATTTTAAAAATTCATATTTTTTAAATATATTTTTCTTTTTCTAGTTCGTGTTTTTATTTTTTCTTTCATATATCAATTATTATTGTAGGTGAACATGATCTATTGAAAGAATTTAAAAATTCATCTGTAATTAAATATGAAAATTTTGAAAAATATTCAATATTTAATGAAAATATTGAAAGAGATATTTCAAATTATTTACCAATTGGAATATTTTCAAATTATTTATTTAAAATGACATATAAAATTGTTGATTTGCCTAAGGATTTAACTAATTTTAATATATGGTTACAATTATATACAATTATGGATTCATATGGAAATTTTATACTTATTGAATTATTACCATCAAGCAGTTTCATTAGAATACAAATTCAACAACAACATTATAAAAATAATAGACATTATGAGGATATATATGAAATCAATGATGTAAGTAAAATAATTTTTCTATTATGTAGAAATATAAATCATCTGTAACTTTCATTATTTTAGGTTTCAAATATACATATAACGGGTGATTCTTTTCAGCTATTGTTTTTTTTTTAATTTAAAGAGAAATATTTATGGTACAATTTAAAAATTTCATTCTATTTTAATATAAGTTGATGTATTGTTAAATGTTGGTCACAACTTATGATCTAATCGGAGGAAGCAGTTTTGATTTTGTTTTTCGAAAACTTCGGTCGGAATATCACCTTGTATGTTTTTTTGTTAATTTGCAATCGAGTCCACTTTTTCTTTTGTAATGAAATTATAATTAAAGTAATTGTTCAAAAAACGTAATATTTTCAATTAATATTATTGGGGAAACAATAAAATAATTTATGTGTTGATGAAATTGCATATCATTGCATAAATGTGTTCATGAAATTAAGTATTACAACTTTATATTGAAAACGACCAACAAATAACGCGTGCAGTATTAAAAATAAAGAGAAATTAATTGAAGAAAAAAATCACCCGTTAATTGTTTTAAAACTATTAAAAATATTTTCGTAAATAAATCACATGAATAGTAAACTAACATTTATTCCAAAATTTTCATTTTGTAAGTTTCTTTATCAATATAATATAGAATATATTACCACTTATTTAGATATTCCTGTTACTGTGGTCAATAAAATTATTTCAAGAATTATATATAGATACGCTATAAGGCATAACATTATTGATAAATAACTGTATATGAAATGAAAATAATGAACCATGTTAATTTTCACATAGAAAATTGAATTCTTGTAAAATTCAATATATTAGGTATATTAAATGTAAATATTTAAATATAGAGATATAATGTTGTAAAAGTTTTAATTATTATGTATAAATTTGTGGAAGAAATGTAAATAGGTGATTCGCTGAATGGAAATGTTACACATATTATACACGTATAATAATACAAAATATTTGAATAAATTGGTGTTTTGTTAGACGCATATATAGAATGTGTATGTTGAATGTAGTATAGAATTATAATCATCTATTTAAATTTAATAAGACTATACGTATTTGTTAAAATTTGATATGTTAGATGCATACGAGTATTTTCACCGTATATACCTTTATTTAATTTCCAAAATTAATTTCTTTGTATATAGGAAAATATAATAAAAATGTAATTTAATTAAAACATTTTATATATATATATATAATATTAATCTGTGTATAACATTTTAATAATGTAAATTAAGTATATTTACTGTATAGTATAATAATGAGTTTGAATCAATAAGTAAAATGTTATACATATAAGTACTGAAGCATAGTCAAAAAGGAATATAAAACTTTGTAAAATAATGCATGTTGTACATGTATATATATATATATATATATATATATATATATATATATATATATATATAACATGTTATAAATATAATATATTTAATTGTTAAATATTTTTTTTGTATTTTTTTTTTCAGATTTCAGTGAATAACAATTGGCATACAATTGAATATTTAATTGAAAATTCAAAATTTTCATTTTATTTTGATGGTGAATTAAGAATTGGAAATATTTTCAATTTAACTGAAATTTCATTATATAATTTAGAAGAAATATCAAATTTATGGAAAATACAACCAGAAGCAATTCTAATGTTATTAAAACCATTTTCAATAAATGAACCGGTAATATACATATGTAAAATAATTTTTTAATTTTTATGTTTATATATTTCAAAATTATTTATTTTATATATAATATAAAATATTATATAATATTATTTACATTATATATATTAAAATTAAATAAAAGATTTTAATTTTTTAGGCTATTGGAATTAGTAACTTAAAGATTTCATGTGAAACAAACAAGAAGAAAAATGATTATTTAAATTCAATTATTGTTTAACAATATTATAAAATTATAAATATTAAAAATACAATAATAAAAATTATATAATATGAATAAATGTTTGTATGCCTAGGAGTAAAATTTATTAAAATATTATTTACAATAATAAAAACTAAATTTATAAATATTTTTTTAAAAATAATATTTAAGTTTATTTTAAAATTTAGAATCAGAGATAAATTAACCCTTTCGACCCGGCTGGTACACATATTCGAAAAGCGGGAATAATTATACCATAATAGATTAAAGAATTACCAAAACATTTCACGAAAGAAATCGTAAATAAAATAGTTTTAATAATTTCACGAAACTGAAAGAGGAAAGAGTTTAGTTTAAAATTAAGAGACTGATCTAGCTATTTTACTCACCAAGTGAGAAGAAATTGAGTAATTAATTTGAGTGAGAAGATATTGAGTAAATATTTGTATAATATAGTTTTCAAATGAGTGAAATATTTGCATATTGCGTATCTCGTTTTTTTCCTAAAATGTAAACGAAATTTATTCACTTTGTTTTTGAAGGTGAGGTGTTTAGAAAATATGAGAAAAATGCAAACATTTAATTGGAAAATGAAATACCCATTAGAAAAGTGGAGAATTCTGATTTAAAAGTGAATAAGAAATGATATGAAAAAGCGGGATATACTACTTGACTTTATTTCCGTATTAATAATTAATTTCGCACATTTCTCAATTTACGTTTACTTTTTTCCCTTAACTCACTTTAGAGTACAGAGAATCTTCTAATTGAATAGGCAAAATTCAGTTTCATAAGTTATTCAGTTAACCAGACGGTGATCAGGCTGCCTTTGTTTTTTCCTAATATTAAATATTGAGTGTTATTAATATTTATTGTTTAATATTGTTGGTAGATTACTCAAGAGAACCGTATGACTTTGATAATCTACAAATGATGCGTTGTGTCTTCAAAATGATCTTAACCGTCCTCATCTTGAATATGCTTCACAAGTATGGTCACCCTATTATGATGTACATATTAGTAGGATTGAGTCTATTCAAAAAAATTTTTTGAGGTGTGCACTGCGCCTTCTTCCTTGGGAAGACCCCATCATTCTTCCACCTTACGAGCACAGACTCAAATCAATTGATCTACCCACACAAGGTAAAAGACGTGACGGATTTGTTATTCATTTTTCAGCTTATGAAAACTAACTTAATCTCCCCCGACAATTTAAATAAAATTGTGATTAATTCCAACCTTAGGTCTCGTTCCCCGGATTTTTTCATGGTTCCTTTTCATAGGACTAATTATGAGAAACATGAACCTGTCAGCAGAATACTGAGTTTATTCAACAAACACAGACTTGACTTTTCACTGAAGAAAGACACGATAAAAAAGCTTCTATTTACTTATAGTTAAGTATAACCCTTTGCTTTATTTTAACAAATTCTTGTTTTAGCTTTTCATTGTTTATATTCATATTTAATGGAATATTATTACTAATAAGTTTCATTTTGTATAATTTTTAAATTTAATTTTTAAGTCAAAAATTTGTTCTGTCTAAAAAATATGTATCTGTATATGCATTCTTTAATTTTAAGTTATGTAAAATGTTTGTGCTAAACATAAATAAATAAATAAATAAATAAATAAATAAACCACCTGTGACTGTACGTTCAATGACAGCCTTGTGATTACGGGGTAGTGGTTACAAAACAGCTCATTTGTGCTAATTAGGGTTAAGTGGACATGTTGCACCGTCCATGTCAACCAAACAATCAACCTTTGTATTATTAAGTTATATAATTAAGTATAATTTTTATAGTGATCTTATTGAAGTTTGTACCCGGTACCCCTTAATTAAGGAATCGGTGCCATAACCACTGCATTCTTGATCAGATAAATGCGTATATTATGTACATAGAACATTAAAGTCTAATATGTTAGGTTTTTTTTACTATTTAAGTTTTTTCACTCATCTTTTTATTAATTTACTTTATACTTAAAATTAATAAACAATTTTACTGTCCATCCAATTTATGAATGATGATAATCTTGTAAATGCTGGTGGTATATTCTCTGTTCCACATGGAGTATAACTAAATGATGAAATTCCAATTACCATAAATTTACCATTATTATCTTTAATAACTAATGGACCACCCGAATCACCACCACAATGACCAATTTTACCACCCAATGGTCCAGTACATAAATGTTTTTCTGTATAATCGACAGCTGTTAATGCATCTGCACATATATTATGTGGTAGAATTGGTACTGTTGCTGTTTGTAATTTTTCTGGAAATTCTGGATCTAATGTTAAAGAAGTTGAACCCCAACCACTAACAATTGCCGGACCAGAAAATGTTTCATTTCTTTTTGGTATAGCATCAATTGGTTTAACAGTATTTGTAAAATTTAATGGTTCTGCTAATACAATTAAACCAATATCGTTTGGTCCAATAGCCCATGGTGAAAAATCTCCATGTACAATAAATTTTGCTGGTTTACGTATTTGTTCTATATGTATAGAACAGATATATTGGAAGAAATAAATACATTGGAAATGAAAACAAAATAAAAACAAAAAATTAATAAATTTACCTCCTTCTTCAATTTTTGTTAAATCATGTTTTCCAGCTCTAATAATTATTTCATCTAAATCTTTATTAAAAATACAATGACCAGCTGTTAAAATCCATTTATCAGATAATATTGTTCCACCACAATTACTTTTATTTGTTTCTGTTAATGTTATTGATACTAAAAATGGAAATTCATGTGGTTTTGCTTCACGTCCTCCAACAATACGTGGATTAATTTCAGCTTCAAGTACATATGTAAATTGTGTTAGAAAATTTTAAAAACAAGTAAGAGTTTACCTTATATACGTATTAATGAATACCTGTAATAACACCAAATAATCCAATTGTAAATATTATTAAAAATAATTTCATTATAAATCCGTAAAAATTATCAATGCGAAGCTCATTCAAGTTGATATTTAAAATAAGTAAATTAAAATTAGAGACGATCAATTTTATAGATTTTTTTCTTATCTTAGTTATTGTTATTGTGTCTAAATCATTATAAGGAGATTAGTTTTCAAGTATATGGATAATGATTAGTTAATATATTCACTTGTACAAATAAATGCAACATATTTGTGATTTTTTCTGTTTTTTGAAAATTTTAAGCTCTGTAATGGGTATACATAATCGCAAACACTTTATGTGACATTTGGAATGATAGCATTGTAAATAATAATTTTTTTTAATAACGTTGATAACTAGATACGATTTTGAGAAGTTATTTATCATTAGTATTCAAATTTAAATGACGTATTCGAATAAATATAGAATCTTGTTTCACGTCTTTGTTATTTTCCAGATTATATCATTTTAGATATCATACGATTTGAAATTCGAAGACTAAATCAATTTTCGATAACAATTTTATTTAAGTTAGTTCGTAAAGGTTATATTTAGTGTAAAAGTTATTTTTAAATAACTAGATTATAATAATTTATAAGAAAAAATTTTGCCTAAAAATAACGAGTAAAATCATGAAGTTGCTCAGGTAAATTTACTCTGCTCTAAATTAGAATTATACAAGAAACGTAGTTTGAATTCTTTCGCATAATTGTAGTTATTACACTCTGCACCTTCGGGAAGGTTATATTAACTTTGGTACGGCATTTTTAACACCTTGAAGGAGTTAAAAATGCGGTATGGACATGTATATATATATTCTTGCTTAGTGTCAAATTCTGAGTTGATTTAAACATGTCGGTCCGTCCGTCCGTCCGTCCGTTCGATCGTACGATAACTTAAAAACCAATAATGCAATCGATACCAAACTTTCAGAAGTTGTTTCTTTTTTGCCAAAGACGCATTTTATTGTAATTGGGTCAATTCGGACAACGGATTCGGGTAGCTGCCCTGCCATTATAAATATTTCAAAAACTAATAGAGATATAAATATGAAATTTTGTATACGTTTGTCCAATTATATTCTACATACGCTCTAAAAATATTAATGAGATGGCTGTACCGGTTCGGGTAGCTGCCGTTCAATTCAAAAATCAATTTTTATATATTCGGAAAAATAATAACGTCAGATTCATGAAAATTGGTCCAATTATAAACCAGACGTATCCGTGAAGTTTCTATAGAATGGTTTCACAGGTTCAATTAATTGTTGTACAAGAATAAAAGGTGTAGGATATAAATAAATTGGTTTATACCGACTGAAACGTTTTCACTTGTTTTAAATCATTTTTACGATTTAAGAACGCTTCTTTGAAATTATGATTATGATATTATTTTAGAATAAATCAAAATTATATTATTGACTGTTAAATGTATATCAATAAAAAAAATGCCGTCTCACATGTACATACATATAAGGTTATTATTCGGATCGTTATAATATAAATTATTATTTTGTAAGATTACAAACTGTGATTCGCTGTAAATTCCATCCAATCTGTTAATTCGTATTATGAAAATTTGAAAAGTAAAAATTGTGCGGTAAACATAAAGATGCATTCGCAATACAATTTATTTATAAAATTAATTTCATTTTTTTATAAAATTATATTTTGATAAATTGACTTTTGAATTACATATTATGCAATAATAATAATCAAAATGTAAAATTATCTACACATTTCCGTGCAATACACATATTAAAAAATATAAGTAGGTTATAACTGAGACAGATTTTGAGATTTTCTAAACTACATAAATAAATAAGACTTTATAAATTATGAAAATAAGACTTGAAAATTTATTTAGACTTCTTTTTTTTTCTTTAAACGAAATGAAAATGAAAGAATTATTTAAACGAAATGATGAAACTGTCATGAACAGGAAATGTAAAATAATTCATTGATATACTACATGAAAACGCGTTTTGTTAAAAAATATTCGTTTACTTTTCAGAAGATTTTTGGTTGATCCTCTTTGTATGTTAACAAGTAACATACTTAAATAGTTATGTTTATGGAAACAAGTCGATTGTTATAGAGTATTAGATCTTTATTTAGATTTTTGAAATATTTCATTACCCTTAACTTAAAATGAAGCAAGCAGTGATTAAATTGGCTAAAAAGGATATTTCTATGATTTTAAATTAAAATGAATCTTAACCATTTTTTACCCACAACTATTACCCACAACTCTTACCCACAACAATTACCCATAATTATTACCCACAACTATTGAATGTTATTATTTTTGGCAAATTAATTATATACGTAAATTTTTTAAATAAATTTAGTAGACCCGAATAAATATTAAATATAAATCAAGCTGTCGTCATAGAATATATGTACATACATACATACATATACACAAATAGAATATAATTTTATAAAAATATTTTATTTAAATATTATCATTCCTCCCTCAATTCAAATATATTGTATTATACATTTCTTTAGATTGAAATTTAAATTTTAGCCCTCGCATTTATTTAATTTAATTAAATTAAAATTGAGGTGAAGTATTTTGACGAGTAAGTATGTCTGGAGTTTGGAGTACATAATGAAGTAATCATTTACTTACACTAATGAAATTTTTTTAAATAAAAAATTTTTATATAGTAATACAAGTAAAAATATAATGAAAATTGTGATTTTAGATTTAGTTTCTTCTTTTTATAAGATTGCTCCTAGAGCATACTAAAAGCACAATATTTTGATTGAAAAGAAAAAAAAAATAAGATTTTATTTTTTGATTCATAAATAAAAAATATTTTGTACTCATTTCAGGTGTAATAATATTTTTTTAGTAATTTCAAAGTACATATGTTTATTTAATAATATTTCGTTTATAATACCTTTTACTAATAATCACATTAATGATTTCTCGATTTATTTCGAATTGAATGGGACAAATTCAATTATTAATCCTGTTTTGATTTCAGCAATTATACAAAAATATACTCACGTTGCCGGATATGAAGCAGAAAAGCTAGTATATTCCATTGTCAGAAAATTCAATTTCGGATTCCGGTCTGAATATTTCAATATTTCAATAATTTTCATATTAAAACAAAAATTGTTGTTAGGTATTTGGTTTAGATGATTAACGCGACCAAAATTTGACGGTGATTATGTTTTTTTTTAGCATAATTAGGACAGATGTGTTGTTTTGTTATCACTTCTTTGGAAAAACCAAGCTGTCATTGTCCGCTAAAGTACAAGGTTGGCCATTAGAGCTGCCTTACAAAAAACTTTTACACATCCCTGGTAAATTTGTTTACTCATATATTATTCCCTAGAACAAAATTATTATCCTAGAGTTAACATACCCAAACTCTATTTACTTCATTTCGGTTATACATTATTATACTAAACTATGAATTGGGTAAAAGTGTTTCCTCCTATAATATTGTATTATAAGTACATTATTTCATACGTATATATTTAGGTATACAAAAAGTGGGTACAACTATACACATAAAATGTAGGTGCTTTTATGAAATATGTTGGTACCTATCTAGTATAGTACTTGTTTTTTTTTTAAACATGGTAATGTATGAGTACAAATAAATTTTTATAAATTATTTTCCTGGGTTTTTTTTATATTTCTTGTTTAGGTTTATTTTATGATTTTGTATATTTCAGATTGAAAGGATGTTGATTTTTTTTTTTTGTGCAAGGATAAAATTAGCTTATTTATTTGCTTTCTCGAACTAAAAATTAAAATGTATAAATTAAATTAAATTAGGTCATGTGTGCAATAAAATTAAAATTAAATTTTTTTTTTTGTAGCCTTTGTGTATTTATGATTTTTTTTTTCATTTTTAACTTGTACATGTAATATTTTGAATACGTCAAAAAATTACTTCTACATGAGTAATAACGGTAATTGGAATTTTATTTAGATACCAATATAAATGCAAACATTAATGGAATATAAAATTAAGAAAAATAGAAAATTATAATACAAAATAAAAAATTACTTGGAATTTTTATACATGGAATAAGTAAAGCAGGACTTTTATGTATTAAACATGCATAAATAATTTAAATGCAATCACCCGATATACTTCCAAGTATATGGTCATACTTTATTAATAAAAAGAATAATGTGAAACCCATTCCAAATTATACATAGAGCGTATTTATTTCCAGTTTTTAGTTGATTTATTTCGAAAAAAAGTGGAACCTTAATTAGGTACTTAGGTATAGTTCTTTTTAGTCTTTATATTTTTTTTAGCGATAGTTTAGCTGGTGTTTCCAGGAAAAAATTTCATATAACATAGTTATTTTTGTTTCGTGGTCAGTTCGGTTTTATATTAGGTTTAATACTATAAAATACATAATTCGTATACACACGTTATAAGTGCAGAATCATTAAGATTTTTCCTTAGATAGGCAGTTGGGGTTAAAATTTATCTTTAGATAGGCAGTTGTGTGAATACAAATTTGAAAAAATACAAAGAGTTTTAACTGAAAAAGATATTGAAAATGCAATGGATGATGTTACGAGCATTTTCAGTTTAGACGAAGAATAAGGAGAGGTGATTTAATACCAATTTACGACAAAAACCAAAATTGGTAAAATTGGTTTTCGATGAAATTCTGTCCAAAAATGTTGACTGTTTGTGAATTAAAAATTAAGATATCGAAAGTAAAGGTTAATCTGTTTTTTTTTTTCAGAATTGTTAATGAATAACAAGGTTTAGACATTTTCATCAATGTCTAAGATCAAAAATAATTTTTAAAGTGGTATGACGTTTTGAAAATTTCAAAAAATTCCTTGTTTAAAATTATTGATTTTGAAAAGATTACAAAAAAAAAACCTAAAAATCGGCATTTGTGGCAATCGGAAGGGAATTGCCACAGAGACCCGCACATTAAATGAGTACAACAAAAATGTAAATTCTCGTATAATTGTTTAATTTAAAATATACAATATTTTATTTATGTATAAATGATTGCATTCTCTAATGTAATTTTTTTCAAATTGAATTTCCGCCTTTTA